GAAAAAAAGGCTGGCCATCAAATGACATATGTTATAAACTGACCAGCAGTTTTTCTGTATAATCCCCAAAGGGTTGCTTAATCACTAATCAGAGCGACTGAGACAGCAAGCCTTCCTACATTGAACTCATTAATTAATCTTTAACTGGATGCTTGTCTACTCATTACTACCAAGAGATGAATGGGTCTGCACTATCTTCTATATTTTTTTTTTCAAAAACATATAAAATACTCTCAGATTTTTTTTTGGTTGAGATTTAATGTCCGACAGGTTTTAATATGTAATTCATATGGACATGCTGATTCCATGCCACCCCATAAAATTATTTTTAAAATTAATAATATTACATAATATTAGATTAGTCTATTATGCAACATCAAATTAGTTTTAATTACTTTTCATCAAATTCATTTCAAAAGTTAAGCTAGTCAACAAGAGCTATTTTTAATCAAACAGGCTTACCCATTTGCCTAATTCTCAAGGGATATAGATAACGCCAATGCTCTCTCAGTTAACTGCTGCACTCAAAACCCATTAATTTCTCTCTAATTGGACATGCAATTTTCTGTTATCAAAATCTTCTTGACCAGTGCCTGATAATTACACTCATGGGAGACATGGGATTTCTCTTAACATACATTATATTTGTTTTAGAAAGCTGTCTAGTATATGCTTAAAAAAATAAGTATTTTCTTGATTTAACACTTTTTTAATAAGAACAGTGCAATACTTTTACATTATTTGTGATGTGTAAATGAATAGTAAAAAGATACTTTTTTTTTTTTAAAATTCACTTGAATTAAAGGTCACAGTGACATTGAAATAGGTCGCGACACACCTTCTACCTAAGACGCATAAACTGGCCAAGTTAGATGATTGTAGGTCTTATGGTTTTCTAGTTATGGACCGGAAAGGATTTTTCCATATTTGGCTATAACTTCTTAATTAAAGGTCAGAGCGACCTACTTTTTGCACGCGACACACTTTCTACCCAAGATGCATCAGATGACTAAGTTTGATAATCGTAGGCCTAGTAGTATTAAAGTTATGAGCCGGAAACGAAAAAGCTAACAGACAGACGGACAGACGGACGGACACGAAGCCTATAACATAATACGTCCCGTCTTAAGACGGGCGTATAAAAAACGTTGCAATATCGTTATTATCAACGCCAGAATTACATTGTTTAACATTTGTTAAAAATTCATCTGTTATAATAAAGTCATTCAATTTACCCACTCTGGAATTAAAATCCCCCAGCAAACAAACATATTTACAATCTTCGGATATAGACATGAGCTCTTGTTCTATTTCAGTAAAACAATCTGGGGATGAATACTTGCTATTTTCTGGAGGGATATATACAATACCAAAATAAATGTCCTCCTCGAGATGAAAAAGCGATCTATTACATTTGAACCATAATACATATTTACAATCTGTGTTGATTATTTTTATATACTTGACAATGGAGTCTCTGATTAATAAAGCAATGCCACCTGATTTTACTCTTGATAATTTACATCTGTTTTTTAAAAAAGTAGAAAATCCAGGTATTTGCAAATTATCAGTGTCGTCTGTTTTAGTTTCAGTTAAACCAATTATATCATAAGAAGAAATAAGATCATTAAATTCCATATACTGAAGTCTTCTATTTACACCACAAACATTTAATGATAAAAACTTTATTATAAAAATAAAAAATAAAATATAAAATATAAAACTTTGCCGACCATATAAGCTCTCGATATGCTTCAGACTGAAGTTCAGTAGCATGTGCGCCCTACTTTCGTTTTAACAGGAAGATCTTCGCAAGGTTAAGGTCAAGTCAAGTTAACCTGTTTTTTTTTCTGCTAAAATATCGAAATTTTCTAAGTAATTTTAAGTCTACTAACACAAATTTATTAGAATTATTGATATTTAACTATTTTTTGAATTTATTTCTTTATTTTCCTTTATATTAGAGCAAGTTAGTAGATATTTATTACATGCGCGTTTTTTCCCTGTTTCCAAAAATAGCGGACTGACTTTCACCGTAACAAACGCCAAACACCTTCACTTTAAATCACAATTTCACAAATAATTCGCATATTTTCACATCTTAATTACCTATTTTTCAATGTGTTGTAGTTGTTTAAAACATTTTGATAGATTCTGGATAATTCACAGCTCATTTATACGTTTTATACGACGTTTTATGTGACGAAGCGCTAATTTCAGACTCAGACCCAACATATTGGGTTCCCGCACGCAAGCGTTTGTGACGTCAGACCCAATATATTGGGTTCCCGCACTCAAAGGGTTAATTTAAATTGAGATATAAGTGATTTTGACTTAGATGGTATGCGGTTCGCCATTCGAATGGCGAATAGCGAATAACCGTCCAACTTCTGATTGCCTTGATTGTAACAGATAGAAATGACGTAAGCTGTATATTTCCAATTTTGCCAGTTAATGTTCCACGATCTTAACAAAGAAGATGGGCGCATTTGGCGTGTAATCTGCAGGAATCATTTCTGGTTTAAATGTCCATGATTTGGTTGGCTGAACATAGCTTGTCAGAGTTTACAAACACGTCCATAGGTTTTTTTAAAATAAGTTTGAAAATGTGAGATTGTAACATTTTTGTCCGTTTTGCTCGGGGGTACTATAACATAGTAATGTTTCGCAAGAAATAAACACCTAAAATATTTAATGCATATAGATGCATGATACGTGTACATTATATTTAATAGAAGATTAGAATTGATTTCGCTCGAGAACCAAACTGAACCAAAATTAATCTAATTAAAAATTTTAATACATTAGTACACGAAACGAAACTGACAAAATAAATGGTTGTTTGCATGAAAAAAAAATTACGCTCCATGCCACCAGGTTTGAACCAAAAACTTCTCGATTTCAGTGCAGTACTAGTGAACAAGTAGCCCAACCTATTGAGCTATTGCAGATTTACATGTACAAGCGATTTTAAAAGGACAAAGAAGCACCATATTCACACATTTTGAATTTTTTTTGAAAAGTTCGTTTTTCGTGGTCTCAGTGTCTTCTCTCCATTTTTTTAAAAAGTATATTCGTTTATTTGAATTAAAATACACACAAAGGCAATAATGGAAGACTTGCATTAGTTTAGACAGGTAGATGTACAGCACTCTGAGTTGGGGGGGGGGGGGGGACACAAGGGTCTGTAGCGGCTGGTCGTCATGGAGAAGGCTGTCCACCAGGTGTTGGAGGTAACCTTTAGAGGACAGAAAGGTCATCTATTGCTGGAACTTGTCCATAGAGAGAATGGTGGCTTACTGATAGAGCCAGCATCTACAACAGACAATAATTATAATATAGGTCTTGCACTGCTGGAACCTGTTCAATATGAAACCAGTGGAAATAAAAATACATGTACACAAGGATATCAAGTTTCCTTCTTTACCCTTCCTACTTACATCATGTCCATCACATCACAACACACCACGTCCATAAAGTTGTCACCGTACAACACCATGGTGGTTACGTACATTGCAATTACGTACATTGGTGGTTTCGTCTCAGCTGCTCATACTCAGAGTGGGCGTCGGCCAAAATCCTCTTCCCAACCCCATCACCTCCTGCCTCTGTCAGAAAAGGAAACATTGTTGCAAACCTTTGTCAAACTAATTTAGGTTTGTATTTCATAAAACACTTGAAGATCATTACACACAATTTAATGTCGATCCATGCATGCAACAAGGTAAAGAGCAAAATCTGTGGAGTTTAGTTGACATTCAGGCTTTGACATCTTACTTTCAAATGGTTACAGACTACTAATTTTACCCCTATTTCATTGACCACTCAAAGTAGTTCCAGTTTAAAAATAGAGGTTTTTTTCTTAACAATTCTTTGGGGTGTTTATGGAGTAGAAAGCGGTTATTTTTGGGCATAAATGGAAGGAGAGGGTCTGAAAAAAATTATAAATTAAAATGGTAATAATGGGAAATTTTGCTTTTAAGTACAGCTATTTGTAAGAACCAGGCAGGGGGTGATTCATGACCACTTCAGATTTTTACAAAATTTTAATATGTTGCTTCATGGACCAAGGGAACATCATTGGACAACATAATTTTTTTGGCCAGGATTTGTTGCCATGGAAACAATGCACCATATAAATGCACATGGCAACCAAGCAAAAAATTGAAAAAAATATGAATTTAGCTATTATTGAACACAGGAACAGAGCTTTTTTGATGATAGTACCATAAAAAAATCTTTTTTTCCTGAGAAGTACATACAAAATGATAAATGATTACCATAAGGATAAAATAATATAGGATTTATTAAAGGTGCTGAATTTCAATTTAACATAGGTCATTTCATAAAATTCACTTTTCACAATATTTCTTCAAATCCATCATATTTTAGAAGAATATTAAGAAAAAGGCCCGCATGTTAAAGAAATCTGATAACATGGGATAGAAAGAGCACATTCTTAATTTTAATAAAATTAAATAAAACCCATGGGTTTTTTAAAAATATTCTGTTTCCATGGCAACGAAATGTTACAAAAATTCATTTTTCACAATAATAACAATTTTTAGGAGCATTGTAAGAAAAAATCCCAAATGTTAAAGAAATCTGATAATGTGGAATAGAAAGAGCACTTTCTTAATTTTAATAAAATTAAATAAAACCCATGGGTTTTTAAATAATATTCTGTTACCATGGCAACAAAATGTCACAAAAATTCATTTTTCACAATAATAACCATTTTTAAGAGCATAGTTAGAAAAAATCCCACATGTTAGAGAAAACTGAAAGCGTGGGATAGAAAGACCTTAATCCTTATTCTAATAAAACAAAACAAAACCCATGGGTTTTTCAAAAATATTCTGTAACCATGGCAACAGAATATCATAAAAATTCATTTTTCAAGAAAATACCAAAATATATCATTTTCAGTGTATGTTGTGGAAAAAAAATACCACAAACACAAAAAAAAATGATAATATAAGATAAAATATGTTCTCCTAAACCTTGCAAATATAAGATAAAACCAGTGGATTTCTCATAAAATTTTGTAACCATGGTAACAAATTATTCTGGAAATGCTTTTTTAAATAAATTGACTTTACAAAATCTCCAAAAAATACAAAAAATTATTGACTAACATACATGTATTATTTCACAGTTTATTGTAAACCCATGAAAATATTTTTTTTCAATATGCTTTTGTGATTTGTATCTGGTTACCATGACAACATCTCCAAAAATATTGCATTTGCCTATACAATGTAGTCAATGTGATGAGTTTGTATGAAGAAAACTGTATGAGTGGCCATTAGCTAAAATAATGAAAGACACAACATTTTCTTTTTGTTCCTAACTTCTTTAAAACAAATATTTGGTTTCTGTGGTAACTGTGATTAACCATTTATGAGACATGATCTAAATATTTCAATTGTATTTTTAAAGCAATTTTTGAAAAATCATCTGTAAATGTACTTTTTGCTGAAATACATAGTTTACAGTAAAGAAATCTTGAAAAAAATGTCAATATAACATTATAAAGTGTATCAAATGTCAAAAAATCCATGTTCTTGACTAGATAGGCAAACTAAAATTCAAAATTTTATGTTGAAGGGGTGTAATATTAAATATCCTTGGATGTATCCTGGTCTTGGTTTCAATAAAACCCCTTTTACATTTGGAGGAGCTTAAAAATCAATATCCTTTGTTTCTGGTCTGGATTTCTTTCAAAAAGTTTTAAACTGACAGTGTCTTTATTAGATTTTTTGGCCATCATTTAGAAATGTGCCGTTGAGATTATCTGTATCAACTGTACAGGTACATCTATGTGTCCTGACTGCTAAATAGGTGCTCCAGCTAGATTCCTCTGACATAATGCATGTGGTTCATTCATCAATCTGGAAAAAAATATAATTCAAAATTTGAACTTTGTTAATGAAAATAGGCATTCCGTAAAGCAATTTTTTCTTGTTGCTGTTGAAGGAGGAGAGTAGCTAAGGTTCGTTTTCTCTATGATCATGATCATGAATACAAGAAGGCCATGGTCCATAACACTCACCAGAGTAACTGGTCATTCTGTTCTACACCAGATTTTCCTACTTGTAATACCTATTGTGGTTTAGGTCTATTCTTAGGAGGAGGGGGACATGATTTAACAATTTAGAATCTACACTTAATCCCTTGATGCTTTAACACGAGTTTCAGCTTTTCTGACCCAGTGGCTCCCTATTTTTTCTCTTTTCTTGATTATCACCCCTTGTAAGGGGTCTTAGCCCTGCCAAGTTTGGTAAAAATTGGCCCTGTGGTTCTTGAGAAAAACCTCAGCTCTACAATTCTTCTCTAAATTTTCAAGTGATGTAACCCCTTCTTTAACCCTCACCCTATCCTTGCCTCAAATAGTTAGCTGTTATTTGATTCTGAATATTGGTATAACTATTACAGCCTTGCTCATCTGAAAAGGTTTTTTTTTTCAATAACAAAAATTCTGTTTAGATATGCTGCATTTTATAGATTTTAATTTCTAACTTTCTACTGATTTTAGTTTCCAATATTCAAAGAAACATTTGTATGGATTGAACAAAATTATGAAGATGACATACAATAATACATCTTTTACTCCTATTTGGCTTCCACATACATGTAACTGCAGTAAAACTTGTTTAGTACAAACACGGGCATTGTGAATTAAAAGAAGTCTTCTTGGATCTCCAACTATATGAATATTACAAATTACAAATATGGATATAATGAATTATATAGCAAAGTACTTTTACAGGTCCTAGTTTGTTATAACCGAGTTGTACTGTACATATATGTGTAGATAAATGACTTAACAAGAGACCCAGGGCCACATCACTCACCTGGCTTGGATAAAAATCAAATATCAGCTTTGTATTGAAAAGCTTAAAAGTATATGTGGTCCTGACCTCTCCCTGTAAGGGAGAGAGAGAGAAAGGGGTATGATTGAACAAAACTGAATCTACACTAAGGATGCTTACAGGGTACTTATTTTTGACTAACTGTGAGTTTTTCCCTACAAGTTTGAACACTTTTATTGTAGCCTCACCCTATACCTGGGGGAGGGGGGGGGGGGGGTCATGATTTGAACAAATCTACACAACAAGAAAATGCTTCCATAAGTACCGGGTATATATAACTTACTGGCTTTTCTGTTCTTTGGAAGAATATTTTTTAAAGGATTTTTTCTCTATATTCTTAGTTAAACTTTGATTGGCCTTTGTGGTCCCACCCTATCCCCAGGGTCATGATTTGATCAAACTTGAATCTACACCACCTGAAAATGCTTTCATATAAATATTACCAATCAAGGCTTGCTGTATCCGAGAAGAAGATTTTAAAATATTTTTTTTATATATTCCTATGTTAAACTCTGATCATCCGTTGTGGCCCCATCCTACACATGGGGTTCATGATTTGAAAAATTTGAATCTACACTACCTGACAATGGTTCCACATAAGTTTCATATTTCCTGGACCATTGCTTCTTGAGAAGATATTATCTCCCCTTGAATGAGGGCGTGGCCCTTCATTTGAACAAACTTGAATCCCATTTACCCAAGGATACTTTGTGGCAAGTTTGGTTGAAATTGGCCCAGCGGTTCTTGAGAATAAGTCGAAAATGTGAAAAGTTTACAGACAGACGGACGCCGGACAAAATGTGATCAGAAAGCTCACTTGAGCTTTCAGCTCAGGTGAGCTAAAATCTGCAAGTTGTCAACACAAAATACCGAATTATCTAATGATACATAAATAATATAAAGTATATGTAACACTAACGAATTGATAATCTTTTCTTGGTGATTCTTTGGTTGTCCTCAATTTTTAAGTTTACATTACCTCAGCTGTGCAGGTGTTGTCAAAGGGGATTTTGAAATTCAGAACAAGGCTCAGATTGCATCTGAAATGATAACAAATCATGACATTCATCATATGACAAGAGAATGCATACATTTATATAACAATTTAGCTTTTGAATTATTGATAAAAAATATTTATTTACCTCCCCCCCTCCCCCATGTACTAGTGATATCATCATGAATTCATACTATCAGTTATAAATTGAAAAAGAGTTCTAGTTTTGTAGGATCAAATTTTATTTTTTAAGTTTTAAACCTAAATTAGACGAAAAAATTGGCAGAAACCCATGCATATTGTATGTGCTCTCATATTTATAAATCTCTCTCTTTCTATGTGTGTATATATTTGCTTGTAGGAATATTTGGGAAGCCCCCCTCCCCCATTCGGATAGGGTTTTATGGCTTTAACACCCCCTCCCCCGTTTCAACTGATAAAACAATAACAGTATTTTATTGGTTGTTTTGCTTTCAATTAAATTTTGTAGGGCTCCCCATCCTTATATATAATTCTAGGCTAGGGGGGTCTTAGCCCTTCCACTTTTTTTCCCAAATATATACTTAGTATAGACATTGAACATATCTTCGTAAGTTTACCCCCCCCCCCCCACTTTCCACTGATACGTCTTAGTTTAGGTTAAAATGGGGAAAGTGGTGGTGTTTGGAAGGAAATTTTTGGTACTGGTGTACGCAATCTTACTCTCCCCGCCATCCCCCCCCCCCCCCCCCCCCCCCCCCACACCCACACCCACAAAATAGGATTATCGTGTTTGGGTACTTGGGAAATAGACTTTTTTTTTTTTTTTTTTTTTTTTTTTGCTTGTCAGGTTTTTTTGGAGGTACCAAATTTTTTTTTTACACTTAGCCCCCCACTTTCAATTTGCTTCCGACGCCAATGGCCTGTATGTTTACTATCATTTTTTCTTGACTTTCCCTTTTTCAGTTTGAAAAAAATAGTCAATATTGTCTTTGTCTAGAAATTATTCTGTGTTATGTTTTAAATACCTGATCTAAATATGACATCCATAGAGGCGCCAAGACATAGAAAAAATTATGCTCCATCCAATCTCTACTGTGGCTTTCAATGCTTCTTGCTATGGCTTCATGTATGCTGCATGAGGTCGAGGATTTCTTCCAGTCGACTGTGTATATTGCAGTACTAAGGGAGTATCGACGGAAAGGAGAGATACTCATCATACTCTAATCCCCAGCAGCGAGCTACTGTTCAAATTTCAGTACAAAATTAAATGTTTTCCCCAAAATTAACTGAATTTAAGTATTTTTGATGTTATTGTTAAACAAGTTAGCCTTTTTCAAAACACTCAAACACTTAGCATGTTTAGGAAATGAAATTTTGTTTTTTGTCAGATAAAATTAAGCAAATTGCAGGCAGTTATTTTTTTTTATCCTAGGATTATATTTTTCAAATAAAAATTTTAGACTTACATGCCCCTTGGATGTATGAAAACTGGCAAAACTTCCAAAATGAAGATGAAATCACACATTTCTTAATCCTCCCCTTCTAAACTGAAGAGTTAGATACACTCTTTCCAACTCCTTTTACTAAAGAGTGCCAAGGGAGATAACTAGAATTTCATGTTTTTACATAATTTAAAATCACAATATCTATTCGTAATTAAAATAACCCATGGGTTTTTTAATTGATTTTTACTCTTTGATACTAGATGTTCAAAATTTTATAATTCACATTCAAGGAGAGTGCGGGCCTTCTTAAAAAATCACCTGCACGTACAGACACCTTACAATGGATATTGTTGACTGTTTCAGTATATATTGAATTCATTTTTTAATCAACTATGCATGAAATCCATTTATAACTGTGATCAAGTATTTAGTTTGATGTATCTTAATGTAAATATGATAGTTTTTGAAAAATCTATCACTATCATGAATCACTCATTTTCATTTCTGCCTGGCTCTTATAAATAGCTGTACTTAAATGCGTAGTAGGAAGGCTGTAAAGAGGCCCATATTTACCCATTCCTCGAAGAAAAAGTGAAACAAGAGGCCAAGGGGCCACATTGCTCACCTGAGCAATTGGCTAGAAAAAAGGACATATCAGATCAGAACTGAAAGTAAACTGAGGGTGGGGAGGGGGGGGGGGGGGCTTGAATTTTGACCCCCCAGTGGGTCATGATTTGAACAAACTAGAATCTACAATACTTGCATGAGGATGATTCCATAAAAATATCACTATCACTAAAGTACTTGAAAAGAAGATTTTAAAAGGATTCCCTAGATATTCCTATTTAAAACTTTTATCGGCCATTTGGCCCCACCCTACCCCCGGGGGTCATGATTTGAACAACCTTGAATCTACACTACCTGAAGATGATTCCACATCATGAGTTTCATCTTTCCTGTCTCAATGGTTCTTGACAAGAAGATTTTTCCTATATATTCCTATGTAAAACTTTGATTGGCCATTTTGGCCCCACTCTACCCACGGGGGTCATGATTTTACCAATTTGAATTTACACTACCTGAGGATGATTCCACATGAGTTTCATCTTTCCTGGCGCAGTGGTTCTTGAGAAGAAGATTTTTTAAAAATGCCATTAATTTTTCTCTAATTCATAATTATCTCCCCTTGAAAAAGGATGTGGCCCTTCATTTGAACAAACTTGAATTTCCTTTACCCAAGGATACTTTGTAGAAAGTTTGTTTGAAATTGGCCCAGTGGTTCTTGAGATGAAAATGAAAATGTGAAGAAAAGTTTTCAACAACAACAATGACTACGACAAAAACAACAACGACGACAATGACAGACAACGGATAAATTTTGATCAGAAAAGCTCACTTGAGCCTTTGGCTCAGGTGAGCTAAAAAGCAGGGTAGGGATTATTTGCGATGCCATAAAAGGACTTGCAGACTATGAATGTTCCCGAGAACTTGGTAAAATTTTGGACTTGAAATGGTCTTACTCTGTGCCAAGTTTCAGATAAGTTAAGCTGGTATAATTTTTTAAAATATTTTTTATGTTATAAAGGAATGTATAGCAAAATAACTGATAGTCTGTGTCCAACTATATTCTTACATCTACTTAGACATACCTGTATCTATGTGAGTCAGTGACTTGGGTTTCTGAACAATTTTTAGATAATTAACAGCAGGGCCCCATATAGATTGGCTCTTTCTCTCTACTCTCTGCTGGCCACCACCTTAACAGAACTAGATATTGATTAAAATTTCTTATTTTCGTACAAAGTTGTTTGAAATTATAGTTTTATGAACATATACACTTGAAAAATTTCTTTTCAGCAAAAAAGTATGTACATGTAAACTTCAGATATTTCGATATATTCTTACTTGAGAGCAGAATGTGATCTATCACTCCTCTAAGCACCAGTTGAAGGGAGGAAGCAAATTGGGTTCGTGACCCTGACACTTGACCCAATGACCCTGTTTGACCTTGACCTGCTGTGGAGTCCAGCATGGTGAGGAAGTGTGAGGTTTCGTTGTCGGTGTCAGAATCCTGACAGAAACACTGACGTAGAATTGTCATCAGAGTAAGAATGATCTCAGCCACAGGGGCAGTTAACTCTGTAAAGGCATCAACTGTCACCTAAAGATTATGAATAGCTCTTTAATTATCAATACTGAATGCAGTATCTTGCAAAGAAATACCACAGCTTTTTCTTTTTATAAAATCAGACATATTTATTTCTCCCCCCACCCTTTTTTTTCTAAAATCAAGCATATCCTCCTGCCTAATTGTCAACAAAATATTTATGAAAAAATTAAAGGAAAATTTTACTTCTCTTCAATTCAAGTCTTGTATGATAAATTTAGCTAGACTAACACTTTAACCTTCAGTATACAGACAGATGTTGTTTACTTTTCTCTGTAGTTCCTGTAGCAGCTCAAACAGTACAGTCTGTCTGTCCTCAGCGGTCAGTAGGTCCTCAGGACACGCGGTCAGCAGAACCTCAGTCACCTGACGCCACGCCTCCAGAGCCTGCTGTTTGGTGGACAGTTCCTGGTGGATTCTGACACCACGCCTCCAGAGCCTGCTGTTTGGTGGACAGTTCCTGGTGGATTCTGACACCACGCCTCCAGAGCCTGCTGTTTGGTGGACAGTTCCTGGTGGATTCTGACACCACGCCTCCAGAGCCTACTGTTTGGTGGACAGTTCCTGATGGATTCTGACACCACGCCTCCAGAGCCTACTGTTTGGTGGACAGTTCCTGATGGATTCTGACACCACGCCTCCAGAGCCTGCTGTTTGGTGGACAGTTCCTGGTGGATTCTGACACCACGCCTCCAGAGCCTGTTGTTTGGTGGACAGTTCCTGGTGGATTCTGACACCACGCCTCCAGAGCCTACTGTTTGGTGGACAGTTCCTGATGGATTCTGACACCACGCCTCCAGAGCCTGCTGTTTGGTGGACAGTTCCTGGTGGATTCTAACACCACGCCTCCAGAGCCTGTTGTTTGGTGGACAGTTCCTGGTGGATTTTGACACCACGCCTCCAGAGCCTGTTGTTTGGTGGACAGTTCCTGGTGGATTCTGACACCACGCCTCCAGAGCCTGCTGTTTGGTGGGCAGTTCCTGGTGGATTCTGTCACCACGCCTCCAGAGCCTGCTGTTTGGTGGACAGTTCCTGGTGGATTCTGACACCACGCCTCCAAAGCCTGCTGTTTGGTGGACAGTTCCTGGTGGATTCTGACACCATGCCTCTAAAGCCTGCTGTTTGGTGGACAGTTCCTGATGGATTCTGACACCACGCCTCCAGAGCCTGCTGTTTGGTGGACAGTTCCTGTTGGATTCTGACACCAGGCCTCCAGAGCCTGCTGTTTGGTGGACAGTTCCTGGTGGATTCTGACACCACGCCTCCAGAGCCTGCTGTTTGGTGGACAGTTCCTGGTGGATCCTGACACCACGCCTCCAGAGCCTGCTGTTTGGTGGACAGTTCCTGGTGGATCCTGACACCATGCCTCCAGAGCCTGCTGTTTGGTGGACAGTTCCTGGTGGATTCTGACACCACGCCTCCAGAGCCTGCTGTTTGGTGGACAGTTCCTGGTGGATTCTGACACCACGCCTCCAGAGCCTGCTGTTTGGTGGACAGTTCCTGGTGAATTCTGACACCACGCCTCCAGAGCCTGCTGTTTGGTTTAAAGTTCCTGGTGGATTCTGACACCACGCCTCCAGAGCCTGCTGTTGGGTGGACAGTTCCTGGTAAATTCTGACACCACGCCTCCAAAGCCTGCTGTTGGGTGGACAGTTCCTGGTGGATTCTGACACCATGCCTCCAAAGCCTGCTGTTGGGTGGACAGTTCCTGGTGGATTCTGACACCACGCCTCCAGAGCCTGCTGTTTGGTGGACAGTTCCTGGTGGATTCTGACACCACGCCTCCAAAGCCTGCTGTTTGGTGGACAGTTCCTGGTGGATTCTGACACCATGCCTCCAGAGCCTGCTGTTTGGTGGACAGTTCCTGGCGGATTCTGTAATGTAGCACCACATGATGCAGAATATTCTCCACTTCCTGAAATATTTATGAAATTTTATTGTTTTGCTGAAATGTTGACATCTTTGGGGGCAGGTCAAATAAATTAAGAAAACATTAAAGTGACCTCATCATGGAGGAGTCAGAAATCAATGGCTAGGGAAAAAGAGACTGTGTAGCTTAAGTTTTACATCCCCTGACAAAAAGAGGATTAAGTAAGGAAGGAAGTTAAATCCTTAATAATTGGGATAATCGATCTCAACTCTAAAATTTGCCGCCTCTGAGTCACTATAATATTGATCTCACCTCTAATACTCGCGGCCTCTGAGTCACTATAATATTGCCCTGGTAGTTGTTAAGTTCGTTCATCAGTAAGCAGTGAAGTCGTTTGACATCACAATACAAAATGTCCTGTTCCGTCCGAGTCTCTACACTTTTAATGGCTTGTTCAATCATCGACAATTCAAAAATCTCCAACTTCATTGTAGGAGGATAGAGCTGTAAAAAGTCAACTTCATCCAGAAGTCCTAGCAACTTCCTGCGTACTTGGCTGCCTGAACAAGGAAAATAAAGTCTGAACAAGTTTTTATGAGCAAAAGAGGAGCAGTGTGATAATTTTTTATGTTTTTCTTTGCTTACTTCTAAATGGCCTGGCTGTCTGAGACAGATAAGATGTCTGTAGACTCTGCTCTGTAAATCTGTCATACATCAGGTCAGCTTAGTCTCCTAATGCTGGCTGTAACACTGTGAGAATCACATTTATTACTTTCTTTAGCAAATCAGACTGTTTTGATTTTTTGTAAGGCTGTTATTAAACTTGACTTTACCATTTTAACCCCCTGAATACACATGGATCAAGACATTCATTAACCTCAGCTTGTGTGACCTTTGAACTTGGCCTTACCTGTTTGACCTTCTGACCCATCATCCAGCAGGTCTTTCCTTAACCTCAGTGTGTGTGACCTTTGACGGTTCAGTGCAGTCAGTCGCAGTTCAATGGCTATCAGCTTCAGCAACCAGGACTGGGAAATCATAACAGGGCGTTCTAAAAAGACAATTACATATTAAATAATAAACAGATTTTGACTAGTTTCTACTGTAAATCACTTTTTATTCGCGAGAACTTTATTTTCGCATATTTACGCGAGACAGTGTGCTCGCCAACTCAAAGTCTCTTGTATAATAGTACCGGTATTCCTTAAGATTATAAAGAGCAATCACCACAATTCGTGAAAATTTTGTCTCGCTAATAAAGAGTCAATGACTTTCTCGCGAAAATAAGGTGTCGCGAAATTTAGTGATCTACAGTATATCAAAAACATTTCTGTCACAAAATACAAAAATTTCTTATTTATATTTGAACTTGCTATAAAACTGCCGAGTGAAAGGTAGATGCTGGAGCTGCCTGTACAGGAAGTCCATGGTTGTACGTCACTATCGTAAAGTGGGTGT